AATTACCATTGTCCTTGGTTTATTGAGAGTCACTGTCCAGCAGCCTCAAATCCATCACCCCATTGTTTGCCCTGTTATCTTAGCTAATATTGCTTTTCTTGGCAATCATACTAGGCTTTATATTCACCAGACAGTGGGGCAGGGCCAGCACACACAGTTGTGTTGTGTCTTGCACTAAGCCACCATTAAAAGGAAGGAATGGGAGGGTAGAGATAAAACCAAGGGCTTTGGCTTAGCTTCTTCCAAAAGTGAGGTTCTTTTCAATCGGCACAAAGATGCACACAGTCTAGTCCAGGCCCTGACTTGAGGGAGGAGGAAGCTCTTTGTTTCCAAATTGTTGGGTTTGGGAATCTCCCATCTGTTTGTTGTTTGCCATATTCCCTTTCATTGGCAGGTGACAAACATCATTGTCAATATTCAAAGCTTCCAGGACATGCGCTTCTAGTCTCCAGACTCCCCATTCCACCCCATTCTACCTTTGTCTTGGCACCTGCGTCCATCTAACTTACTGCTTGTCATATGCCACCATCTAGGGCAAAGTTTCTCAGACCATTCTGACCTCAACTGGAAGTAAAAAAAAAATGCATTTTATATCACGACCCATACATATAAAGAGCCCAAAGTATTTGTAAAATGTTCTATTTCATTTTTTAAAGATACTTATTTTGATCCACTAAATTGATTCCACTCCTTAGTGAATCCTGACCAAACACTTTGAAAAGCACTATTAGGACATAGCTGTATAAAATGAGGTCCTCAAATGTATTTCTAGCAGCAGCAGTGTCACCCAGGAGTCTACTAGAGATATAGCTCTCTAGAAGCTATGTCCCACCCTAAAGCTACTGAATCATAATCTGTGTATCTAGCAAGGCTCGCAGGAGTCTCATTTGCATGTGAAAAATTGAGCCACCTGGTCCAAGAGAGCAGGAAGCTACGCTCTGTTAGAATTGTATATATGAAAATGAGTGCCCAGAGATTCTGTATAGGTGAAAGATATGAACTTGAACAGCAACACGAACATCTGTTAGAGTTCCCCCAAGGGCCGCTTCCCCTGTTTTATACTACCAGGGAGTTGCAGGGATGTGTCATCCTTCTGCCTTTGACATTTGAAAATTGGACAGGGTGTGCTTTGTGGTCTCTTCCCATGGCTTACTCACAACTAGGAGCTTTGAAAGTCAATTTCAAAATGCAGAAATCACAGTTCTTCTCTATCCAGCAGTGGGAAGTTGACAGAGTTTTTTTCCCCAGGGAATAAGCTCCAGCAAAATGCAAAGACACGGGACCAAGGACTAAGAGTCCGAGGTGTGAGGCCCTATCTGGCCATTAGCTGCACAGATGACTTTCTCACATGGCATCTCAGTGTCTCTGTCATCAAATGTGGCTGTGCCAGTGACCATCTCTAAACTGCCTTTTCTCAAAATCCCCTGAGCAGTCCCCTTGAGGTTGCATCATTTCCTCTCAGACTTACTCCCTAGGGACCTCCGCCCAGCCCCTGCCAGTGGTCCCTGAGCCTGTACTGTCTTCACAGCTCCGGACTCACTCTGGCCTTGAGAAAATCCTTGTGGATGCAGACTGGGGGATGGGGAAATGAATTCTCTTTCACTCTCCACTTCCAAAGAGGGAGGAATCATTGTGAATCTCCTTTTGTGAGTGCAGGACACAGTGCTGGAGCCTCGTGGATCCAGCCCCTCAGTCCCAACCTACTTCCCGTCACTAGACAGGACAGTCATCTTTGGAGTGAACTCTGCACTGCTCTAATGAACATCTTTGTTTGTCAGGCAAATAGGCACGGAAATGTAAGCTCTACAGGGAAGTTGTGTGTGCTCCACTTATCACCAACTCATAAAGCTAAGCAAGATTTGTTTTGTTTATTCACCTTCCTGAGGAGGCAAATCACCCTGATGATTAGAATAGAAGCCAGAGATGGAGGAGGGAATGGGGTGGGCAATTGGGGATAAATGTCAGAGAGATGCCAGGCAATGGAAACCCAATTTCAGGAAACAGGGATGACATCACTCCAGCCATCTGAAAGGTCAATCTCTCATTAGGTGTCAGGAGTTTGCTTCTTTGGGATGTTGTTGACAGGAAAATGAGTCATTTAGTGTGCCCTATCTTTTAAGATTGTTAGATATTTACTAAAGGCCAGAACCGTGTTGCCTGAATATTTTCAGAAGTAAATATGAGTCATGAAATCTAAGATGAGAAGTATAGAAGATGCTGCTGGGACCCTGCCCAAGGCCCTTAGCTCTCACCTCTACTCCCTGAAGGCCACTGAATGCTGAATGTCAGCACCTGACTCTGCATCTGACTTAGCCAATGCAGAGGACAACTTGGAAAGCTGAAGAGGAATGAAAAAGTAGGGATGAAGCCAAGCCAATCCCTGGCTGGGTTTGGCTCCCCTTCTCCGCAAAGGAGGGGTCTTTCCAATTTGCTGTAGAATCAAGGAAGCAGCCTCACCCCATCACGGATGGGAAGTGGGTAGATGAAGAACCTGCCTCTTTATCCCTGGGCTAGCATGACTCAGGGGGTGCTCTCACTGTACCCCAGAAGTCCCCTCTGGGAGTGAGCTCCAGCTGCCCACAGTGCTACAATTTAAATTTCTTTTTTTCTTTTTAAGATTTTATTTATTTACTTATTTATTTAGAGAGAGCACAAGTGGTGGGGGAGGAACAGAGGGAGAGGGGGAAAGAATCCCAAGCAGACTCTGGGCTGAACATGGAGCCCAACATGGGTGGGATCCCACAACCCTTAGATCATGATCTGAGCCAAAACAAAGAGTCAGACACAACCAACTGAGCCACCCAGCCACTCCTACAATTTAAATTTAAATGGAATTTCCTTCTCTCTCTCCTCCATGGGGAAGTTTTTCCGGGTCTGTTTCTGGAGAAATCTAACCAAAGGCTATAGCACTAGTACCTCAGGAGCTCTAAATAGATCAAATGACCTGCACCCTGAGTTGAGTAACAGAGAATAAGGCTGGCTGAAGAGGGGAGGACGTTCCTGTCACTAGAAATGTGCAGAAAGACCTGGGGACCATCTCAGAAGGGACCCACCAAAGGTGACCTCAAAAAATTAAAAGGCCTGCATAACTGCATTTACCAAGATGATGACTAAATTTTCTAAGTCCCTACTCCCTCTCCTGTACCCTCTTACCCAATAACCTTGAGCTAGACACCCAGAAGAAGGGAGGTGACCAAAGATTACTTGACCTTGGGCAGAACACAATCTTCTGGGCCTCAATTTCTGGAATACAAGTGAGTTACCTGAGGCAACATCTAGGGTCTCTATCAGTGTTGACATTCTAGAACTTTGTGTGCCAGTTATGGGGGCAGTCTTTGAATATGGGGGAGGCAATGGAGGGTAATCTAGAGGGCCTTGTGGAACCTGCAAAGTAGCCGTCCCTCTCTGAGAATCGGTGTCCTCAGCTGCCATGAGATGGCATCAAAGCTTCTTCTCAACAGCAACACTCAGGGTCTTCAGGTCTGTCCCCAAAGTTCCATTTTTCCTCATTGCCATGGCTTGGGTTGGGTCAGAGCCCAAATTCTATCCTCTATGTAACCGTTGCCAAATATCTCCTTGGAACAGCCCTGAGCCCCAAGCTACCAGTCAGGGCAGGCATTTGGACAAAATGAAACAACAGAGATTCTTTATAGAGCTCCTTGCCCGCCTCCCCAAATCACACTGCCACTTCCTCCACCACTGCTCTGAGGCATGAGGGCATCCTTCACACTCTGTGGTTCTCTTATATCCATGAGTCCCCCTCTTATCCTCATTAAAAGAATACCAGGCTGTGGACAGCGGAGGCATTTGAGGGGTATCCAGGTCTTCCCAAGGCCTGTAAAGTCATACCCAACATTCTGCTCAATCCTGTTGGTGGCTCAAAAATCAGGTCGTGGCCAGGAAATCAGAAGGGTATGAAATCGGTGTTTCAGACACTGAGTGAGCTGAGCAAGAAGTGGCCTGGAGGTTTCACAACTCACTTCAGATGTAGCTACCCACAGCTGCCCCAAGAAGAGTAAGACCTTCCACTGGCAGTCGGCTTGCTGCCTATCCCATGATTTCCATGGCTTAGGAAGTACATTTAAAAATCTCTTGGAAGATTATCAGCAGGACCAAGGTTTGGCCTTAGCATGGAGAGCCCATGTGCTCTTGAGCATGTCACTTAGCTTTTCCACCTCTCAGCTCTGGTCATTGAAATACAGACATAAATACATGAATCTACAGCCTGTTCTATGGTTATGAGTTAACTCGGACAAGAGCATTACTTAGGAAAGTGAAATAAAAGGATATGGCCAGTATACTTCCCGTGGCTCTCTTTGGGTAGATTTGATTATTCTACGTATTCTTCTTATGCTTCCCTGCCATTTCCCATTTTTTTTATGATAAGCACATGCTACTTTTGTAACAATAAAAATTAAATATAATTATTTAAAAGAGAGTTCTACATACATATAGCTGTTGCTCACTGTTTAACCCCATCTGGCTTCCTCATTAGCAATATCCCCAACTCTTTGTCTTTAGACTGGAAGAGAACCCATAGCTCATTTGATCCCAGCCTTCATCTTACTAATGAGGAGACTGCCGGCCCTAACCTTTGGCCATGGCAGCTGCACTCTCTGCAGTGAGAATTCACATTTACATCCTCTGACTTTCTCACCAAGGAAAAGTTAAATAAAACCCAGCAAAGAAATAGTAAATGGAGGGAAGGCAGTTCCTTAGGTAAGAAGTTTAAGTGTCACATTTATGTCCTTTAAAAACATCAGCCTGGGCACCTGGGTGGCTCAGTCGATTAAGTGTACAACTCTTGATTTATGCTCAGGTCATGATCTCAGGGTGGTGAGATGAAGTCCCATGTTGTAGGGCACCACACTCAGTGGGGAGTCTATTTGAGAGTCTCTCTCTCCCTCTATCCCTTCCCACCCTGTTCTCTCTCTCTCTCTCAAATAAATAAACAAATATTTTTTTTAAAAAAAGTCAGCCTTTTCCTCCTCTCTACTCACGGAGTCTTCCTGGCAACTTGCAGATTTCCCCTTCACCCAGCAAGTTCATTCTAGCTTCACATCTGGCCTGGGCTCCTGGGGGTGGTGTGGCTGCCTCGGGGCTCACAGAAGAGCTGGCCAATGCTCCCTCCTAGAAAGAGGAAAAACCAGGGCAGTCAAAGACAAACCTTCTTGGTGAAGGCTCAGTCATCCTTAAACGTATAAAGAACTTTTCTCAAAGGGAAAGAGCATCCATCTCTGCATCTACCTTAAAGGTAGGAACCATGTGGGGTGCCTGGGTAGTTCAGTTGCCTGGGAGTCTGCTTCTCCCTCTCCCTCTGCTCCTCCCCCCTGCTTACTCTCTCTCTCCTCAAATAAATAAATGAGAAATTTAAAAAAAATTTTAAGGTAGGAACCATGCGTATCTTCAGCTTGATATCTTCAACATTTTGTACAGAGTAGACACTTGATAAATTTCATCTTTCTGATTCAAGTTTTTCATGCATATGCGTAACCCCACCAGAAGGCTCCCCTGCCAAAATTTGACTTGTAAGATAGAAATCTGAGAGTCTAGAAATATCTACTGGGACCTTGGTGAGAGGACACAGGGGACATGAGGGGCCAGAATAAAAAGACCTTAAGTCGTAAATAAATAAACAAACAAGTAAATGCTGATTTTAAGGGAGAAAAAGGAAGGATAAATTTCTGAATCCCAAAATCCCTCCAAGGGAAGCCTGTATCTTTACAATTTTCTAACCAGCTCAGCCCCAGAGGTGATTTGGTTCATCCCTCAGGATGAGGGGATGAAAAAGTGACAAGATTTTGTAGAAACAGAAGTAGCCTTGGGGCTTATGCCCAGCTATAGGTGCCACTCCGTGAAAAGTAAAAGTGAAACTAGTCCCAGCAAGTAATTTTCTCAAATTAGGATCTTCAAGAGCATTACATTCATCTCTTGATGTCTGAGGAGGGCAACCTGCAGTGAAAGACTGTGGATCTGGAGCTGCAAAGCAGAGGAGGTTTTAACACCTTTTAGGGTAGTTCTCACTGCATTTCTGGCTGGTATCCCCAACCCCACCCTCAACCCCCTCCAAGGCTGGTGCTATTTCCCAGGTAACCCAGCCTCTTGAGGCTGCCACCTAGGAGCGTTGGCTTGCCAAGCTGGAGAAGGGTCCAGGGTCTCACGCTTGCAGGAAAGCCCCCTGTGGACTCTTCTAGCCTCTTCCAAGCATTAGGATCAGCCAATTCTGGAGTTTTAGCTGCCTGGAAAATACCAGCCAGGGAGCTACTGAGAGTTAGAACTCTGGGCTTCCGCATGAAAGCCAGGGGGAGGTCTGATAAACTGTGGATATGGATCTGAATCTTCTTAGAGAGAGGAGGTGGAAAAAGGCCTTGGAGGTGGGAAGGGGACCAGCTCTGGGGCAGTTCTGAGGCTGCTGGTGAAATATGGCAAATGGAGAGGGACTGCTTGAGTGGGAGCCCCTCTGCAGTGGCGCTTTTGTCAGCTATTAGGGCCGCAGGAACTTCCAGGGACGTCACAACTGGATGATCCAAGGGTGAGGAGGATGTAAGGAGGAGCAGAATAGAACGCAGAGAGGTTCCGAAGAGAGACAGTGAGGCTGGAGGTGAGTGAGGAGGGAGGGCCGGGGAGGGATGAATGGTGAGGTTTGGGGAAATGTTGGAGAGTGAGATTCCAGGCAGGAAAAAGGTCTGATAACTTGGGTATGGAATTTGAGGTGGCGGAGAAGGGATGGGGGTGCGGAGACTCCGCGCGCTGAGGGGTTCAGCCGCCAGGCTCTTACCTGCATTACAGGTGGAGGTGGGAGAGCCGCCGGCCGGCCGTCGTGAGGGTCCCCCCGGCCGCGGCCCTGGGCGCTCTCGGGCCCTCCTTCCCACCCCCCCACAACGGGCCCCGGCACTGGAAGGCGAGGAGGAGGAAACCTCTTTGGAGAAGTGCCGGGCAGTGCGCCCTCGGGTTCCCCGGACCAGCAGGCTCACAGGGCGCTCGGGTGATCGCTGTCCTTCCGGGAAACGAAAACGAAAGAGCGGGATCTGGCTTCCACTCCCGCCCCGGCGGGCTCTGCCGAGGGCAGGCGCGGGCCCCGCGGGAGCGCAGCGCGGCGGGCGCTGTCCGGTCGCCGCCGGGAGGCGTCGGTCCTGCTCGCGTCCGCCCAGGACGGCCTGGCGCTGGCTCCCGGGGGCACGGGGCTGAGATTCTGCGGGACCTGGGGGGCCGAGAGAACCCCTGGTCGTGGGCTCAGGACAGCCACAGACCAACTGCGTGTCACCCCTGTGTGTCTCCGCACTTGGATGGAGGGGACCTTCCATGCTGCCCCCTGGCCGGGGGCCTCTCCTCTTGGGGATGAGTGACCCCCCGGTCCTGACCCCACCCCGGCCTGCCGTTTGGCCCGCCGTGCCCCACCACCCAGGCAGAGCCCCATCATCAGAGCGGCTGTGCTACTCCTCCCGATAGACCCTAGTGCCTGTGGATCCCGGCTAGCGCCTTTTCCCAGGCCTCGGGCTCCTCCAGGCACACCCGCACACCCGCACACCCGCACGAGAAAAGGAGGGAAGTCTGAACCTTCTGCGGAGACTCTTTAAGGTGTACATGGGGTTACAAAGAAGGCTCAGCGCTGATACAGCGCAAGCTCCTAGGAACTAGTAAGAACAAGGCCAAAAACCCAATAGAAAAAATGAGCAAAGGATATGAATAGACAGTGCACATTAAACAAAATATCGAGGGCAGCCCGGGTGGCTCAGCGGTTTAGCGCCGCCTGCAGCCCAGGGCGTGATCTTGGAGACCTGGGATCGAGTCCCACGACGGGCTCCCTGCGTGGAGCCGCTTCTCCCTCTGCCTGTGTCTCTGCCTCTCTCTCTCCTCTGTTTCCCATGAACAAATAAATAAATAAATCTAAAAGAAAAAAAAACTTTAAAACAAAATATCGAATGGCCCTGGGAACATAGAAGAAGATGCTCAGACTCACCCGTTATAAAAGATATGCACATTAAAGTTTTTGAGATATCATTTTTTTACCTGTTAAGTTGGCAAAAATTCAAAAGTTTAATGACATAGTCTGCTGGAGAGGCTGAGGGGAACAGAGAACACCGGGCAACCCATGGAAGGTAGTAAGGCAAGATCTGGCAAAGTTACAAATACATGTACCCTTCCCCCAGCAATCCCACTACTGGAAATGTATTCAATAAATCTACCTGCACATATCCAGAATGCACATGCTATTTATTTCAGCATGGCTGATGATAATGATTAGAAACAATCCAGGTATCCATTAAAAGAGGCTGATGAGGGGCAGCTGGGTGGCTCAGTGGTTGAGTGTCTGCCTTTAGTTCAGGGCATGATCCCCAGGTCCTGGGATGGAGTCCCACATCGGGCTCCCTGCATGAGCCTGCTTCTTCCTCTGCCTGTCTCTCTGCCTCTCTCTGTGTGTGTCTCATGAATAAACAAATAAAATATTCTTTTAAAAAGAGGGGAGCTAATGAAATAAATTATGGTAGATCCATTTAACAGAACACCATGCATCGTCTGAAAGAGCTCTCTGTGTCAGATGGCAAGCTCTCCAAGAGGCAGTACAGTATAGCACTTAAGAATCTAGATTCTAGGGACACTTGGGTGGCTCAGCAGTTGAGCTCTGCTTTCATCTCAGGGCATGATCCTGGAGTTCAGGGATTGAGTCCCACATTGGGCTCCTTGAGGGGAGCCTGCTTCTCCCTTTGTCTATGTCTCTGCCTCTCTCTCTGTGTGTGTCTCTAATGAATAAGTAAATAAAATATTTAAAAAAAAAAAGAACCTAGATTCTGGGGGCCCCTGGATGACTCAGTTGGTTAGCCCACCAACTCTTGATTCCCATTCAGGGTTGTGAGATTGAGGTTCCACTTTGGGCTCCATGCTCAGCACAGAGTTTGCTTGAGACTCTCTCTCCCTCTGCTCCTCCTCCCCCTAATAAATAAATAAATATTTTAAAAAAGAAAAAAATAACCTAGCCTGGAATTCCAGCTATGTCACTTACTGGCTATGTGCCCTTATGGAAACTAGTTAACCGCTCTACTTCCTCTCTCTATCAACTGCCTTAGTTTCCTTAACAGTAAGAGCTAATAAAAATAATACCTGTCTCGTAAGGTTGCTATTAGAAGTAAATAAGTTAACATTCGTAAGACTACTGATCACCATGCTAAGCAAAGAAAAAAAAAATCAAGGTACATAACAATGTGTACTACATACTTCCTTTTAGGGTAAATATACGTATGTGTGTTTATGTTATGTATTTGTACATATAAACTCTAAAGGGATATGTAACAAACTATTAGACATAACTGGGATTCAGGATAGAAAATAAGAGCAAGAGTTTTCATTGGAAACCTTTTTATATTGTTTTGATTTTTAACCATAGGAATAAATACCTATCAAAAGAGTAAATATAAATAAGAAAGATGTTCCAGCATTCATCCATCCATGTCAGCAAACCAAAACCTAAATAATGATGGGACTGTATGGGCATTACCTGAGACAAACTGGAAAATTGGGGACATTTCCCTTTTGGAAGGACAAAGGTGATGCTACATATGATCAAAGTCTACAAAATTTTGAACCCATATGAGCAGGAATAAGTGGAATCCCTCCTTCACAAAAGAAATATGCACAGTTGGAGCACCTGGGTGGTACGTCTGGTAGGCATCCAGCTCTTGATTTCAGCTCAGGTCATGAACTCAGGGGATCATGACATCACACTCACATCCACTCCATGCTCAGCAGAGTCTGCTTGTCCCTCTTCCTCCCCCTCTGCCCCTTCCCCAGCTCTCACTTGTTCTCAAATAAATAAATAAACAAAATCTTTTTTTAAAAAAAGAAATATGCACAGGTGTTTCATGCTGAAAAAATAACAATATTTATTTCATTTTTAAATTATTAATTTTTAAATAATACTTATCCTACAAAGAACGCAAAAGGTATATATAGAACTTATAATTTATAACCACAAACTTTCTTAATACTTGTGATACTTCAAAAAGGGGGAAGAGAGGGAAGATGAGGTAGACAGGTGGAAGAACAGGGCACTGGAGATCTGGGCACAGGCAACAAGGGGGGACCAACAGATCACTGGAGGGCCTGGTACCCCAGGAAGGGGCAGGAGAAAGCACTCATTTCTGTGACCTCTGCTTTGAGGATGAGGTTCAATTTCACTCATGGAAGAAAATGTTTAAGATTTCCTTACAAGGAACACAGGGACCATCCACAGCGCTGATGTTCTCTAAGTGTCATGGCCTCCTTGGGCTTTTCCAGGAGGCAATCACAAACATCTCATAGCTGGTTGCTCTGCACAAACAAGTGGCCGGTGAGTCTGCATTTCTCCAACAAACCAGGTGTGAACCAACAGTGATGGGTAAAAAAGAAGGAGATGGAGAAGGGTTTTCTTTCATCTGTTCCAGTAGGATTCAGGTTTTCTCAGAGGACAGGAGCAAAGCAGAAGTTGGCATTTACATTCCTTTTACAGCAAATGGTTATTCCAGAGAAAGCGCAGCAACACATGAACTCCTCCAAAGAAAAGCAAGACAAAATGAGCCAGTGCCTCTCTGACTTCCTGTTGAAGATCCTGTTTAACACAAGAATAAGAGGGGAGGGGGGTTAAAAAAAAAAGAAAAAAGCAATAGAACAATCAGTAGATAGAAACTCCATATTAAGATTAATTCAATCAATGTCACAAACAAGCTTCTTGGGCTGCTTTCTGAACTGTATGAGCCGGACAATATCTTGGTCTGTTGTGTAATGTCCACATCCTCTGCATGCCCTGGGAAGTCTTCCTCTGGGCGGGTTTTCCCATCTTAACCATCAGCAATCGGGGCACTCTTTTCAGGACTGATGACCTCTTCCTCTGGCTTTGCAGAGCCTTTGTTTTGTTCTCTCAAAGAAGCAAGATGTTTGCTTTGGGGTTGAAAGAAAGGATAGGACATAGATGAATGTGTGGGGGTGAATATGAGCCAAGTTGGAGGTAACAGCACAGCAGGTCTGTGGAGCAGTAAGCACTCACCACTGTTTATTTGTGAACATCAAGAGAACAAGGCTGAGGGTCAAATACAAATGGGTCTCCCTGTCCCTGTCCCTCGTCCGGCAGTCCCTTCTCAACACAGCAGACTTGGTGGGCCGTGAACTGTGCTCCTCTGCTCAGTGCTCTCCAGCGGCTCTGCCTCAGTCCTCAGGGGGACCTCAGCGCCCTCCCTCATCTGCCTCTACCAACCACTCTGACATAGGTTTTACTACTTTTTCTCCTACTCAGCCTCAGCCTCATTGCTTCCTTGCTCAAACATGCCGAATCTGCTCCTGCCTCTGAGTCTCTGCTTTCCGCTTGCCTCCACTGCTCCCCCACCCCACCCCACTCAGGACCCAGAATCTTGGGGTCCTAAGATCATCCAGGGCCTCCTCCACACCTCTGTCAAGGTTTTGCTCAGAAATTACCCTTCCAGTAAGGCCTTCCCTCCTCAACTTAAAACTGTAAATCCTCCAACACTCTTCATTTCTTTCCTTGCTTTATTTTTCTCCACAATATTTATCAGTGTCTGATAAGCTATATACTTTATTTGTTCACTTACAGTTTCTCTCCCTTTTAGATTATCAACTCCATGAGATTAGGGAGTTGTCTCATTTTTTAAAAGATTTTATTTATTTACTTGAGAGAAAGAGAGAACATACACACGGGGGCTAAGGAGAAAGGGAGAGGGAGAAGCAGACTCCCCACTAAAGCAGACAGCCTGACAAGGGGCTCAATCCCAGAACCCAAGATCATGATCTAAGCCAAAGGCATCCACTTAAACAACTGAGCCACCCAGGTTCCCCAGTTTTGTCTCTTTTAATCTCTGCCATAACTCCAGTACTCAAACAGATCCTGACACACAGTAGATACTCAATAAGTGTTAGTTGAATAAATGAATGAATGAATGATAAACAATAGTAGCAAGCTAAAGAATTTAGACTGTGTCCTGTCAGCAACTGGGAATCATTAAAGGATTTTCCCCCCTTTTTAGTTGATATCAGTTAGGAAAATTGAACGAGTTTCCTTCCAGCAATGTAGATGATAAAATGTATACAGCACCAAGTCAGATGCTCATATATTTAAATTCTAGTTTTGTCACTTAATTGCCAAGTGACCTTAGGTTACCTAATCTCTCTGAGCCTCAGCCGATTTCTCCTGAAATGCTAATCCACTAACCCATAAAATTATTGGGAGAATTAAATGAAATGTTTAAGAGTCTTTCAAAGAGCACCTGCAAGAAATTGTTTAATAAACATTGGCTTCTCTCCCCTCTTTCTAACAAGCTAAGATATTCCATATGCATTATTGTACCAGTGAGGGGCCCAGATGGAACAGATAGCACACTGCAGAGTAGGATAATTCAGAAAGAGGGGTACTTGGGTGGTTCAGTTCACTTGAGTCATGATCTTGGGGTCCTGAGATCAAGCCCTACATCGGGGTCCCTGCTCCATGGGAGGCTTCTCACTCTCTCTTTGTCCCCAATCTTGTACTCACTCTCTCTCAATCAGGCACTCTCTCTCTCTCTCTCATAAATAAATAAAATCTTTTTTTTAAAAAAGGATAATTCAGGGAGAGTTAAATAAAGAGACTATCTACAAAGGTGGGGGACAAACAAGGTGATGCAGTTCCCCAGGCTAGTAATGTCTCAATTATTGCCACTCCTAGGCCTGTAAGGATGGCAGGGGAGGCAAGGGCACAATTCCTAGAATCCAGAAGGAAAGAGTCCTCTAGAGAAAAATTCCAAAGACATATTTAAATCCTAAAAGTGACAGGAAGACTATTTTAAAACATACTTTAGGGATACCTGGGTGGCAGAGTCAGTTAAGCATTCAGTTCTTGGTTTTGGCTTAGGTTATGATCTCGGAGTTGTGGAATCGAGCTCCACATTGGGCTCTGCACTCAGTGTGGAATCTGCTTGGGATTCTCTCTCCCTCTCACCAACCCCCTCCAAAATAAATAAATAAAATTTTTCTTAAAATAATAAAAATAAAACATACTTTCTACCTAGGAAAATTACATGCCCTGGATGGGGGGGGGGGGAGACCAGGTCCTTGAACCAAAATCCCGCAAAACCCCTAAATAGCAAAATAGAAGATGTTATTTTTGAGAATCAAGGCCTACTTGAAAATAAAGAACACTTGCTTAAGTGAAAACCGCAAGAAATCAAGTTACATGGCAGCTCAAGGACAATCCATTTAGCAGACAAAAGTATAGCTCCTTGTTAGGGAGTTCCAAGAGCAAGAATAAAAGTTCCTTTAAATACACCAAAAGCAAGAAGACATCTGGAGAATCACTGTGGCCACTTGATTAAATAGAGTACAAAAGGTAAATAAATGATGACTATATGTGAAATATACCATTCCAGATTTGTAATTCTGTTGCTTGATTTAAGTCTTGAACCAGCAGAGTAAAGCCTTGAGCATTTTAGAGCCAAACTTCAGAGGTATTTTTTAAATTATTTTTTAAATGTACTGTGGTCTATTTATAGGTGGTCTAAAATATAATTTTGTGGTCCAGGACAAGATATCTTTAACAGTCTAGGGCAAAGCCAGCTTTGAAAAATGCTGCAGGGAAAGCTAGGGCAGGCGTATGGATAGACATACAGATCAATGGAATAGAATGGAGAGTCCAGAAATAAACCCTCACATTTACAGCCAAATGATTTTTGACAAGGATGACAAGGCAATTTAATAGGGAGAGAATAGTCTTTTCTTTTCAACAAATAGTGCTGGGACAGCTGGATACCCATATGCAAAGGAACGAAGATGATCTTTTAACTCATACCATATGTAAAAACGAACTCCAAATGGATCAAAGACCTAAATATAAGGGCTAAAACTAAATCTCTCAGAAGAACAAACAGGTGTAAATCTTCATGGCTTTGGATTAGGCAAGGTTTATTAGGCAATATACCTTCTTAGGTATAACTCCAAAAGTAGCAGAAATAAAAGAAAAAAATACATAAATTGAACTACATCAAAATTAAAAACGGTGCTTAAAGAACACCATCAAAAAAGTGAAAATGGGAGAAAATATAAGGAACCTCCACCTAGAATGTACAAAGAACTCCTACAACTCAATAATGAAAAAGAAAAATAATCCAATTTTAAAATGGACAAAGAATGTGAATAGACATTTTTCCAAGGAGATATACAAATGAGCAGTAAGCACATAGGAAGATACACAACACTGACCATCAGGGAATTGTAGATCACTTGGGACTCCACACCCACCAGGCTGGCTATAATAAAAAAAGACAGTTAACAACAAATGTTGTCAAGGATGTGGAGAAACTGGAATCCTCACATCCTGCTACTGTGCCACAATGTAAAATGGTGCAGCCACTTTAGAAAACCACCTGGAAGTTCCTCCAAAAGTTAAACATAAAGTTGCCCCATGACTCAGCAATTCCATTCCTAGATATACTCCACAAAGAATTGAAAACATATTTCTACACAAAAACTTCTACACAAATGTTCGTGGCATTGTTATTCATAAGAGTCAAAGTTTAAACCACCAAAATGTCCATCAACTGCTGAATGGATAAAATGTGATACATACATACAACGGGATAATGTTCAGCAATAAAAAGAAATAGAATAGGGTGCCTGGGTGGCTCAGTTGGTTAAGTGTCTGCCTTCAGCTCAAGTCATGATCTTAGGGTCTTGGAATCAAGCCCCACAGAGGGCTCCCTCTGCCTGCTGCTCCCCATGCTTGTGCTTTCTTCCTTTCTCCCTCTCAAATAAAGAAAACAAAAAGAAATAGAATACTGATAGGTGTTACAATATGGGAGAACCTTGAAAAAAAACATGCGAAGTGAAAGAAACCATACACAAAAGGCTGCATATTAGTCCACTTACATGAAATGTTCAGAATAGGCAAATCCATGGAGATAGAAAGGAATTGGGTGGGGCTGGGAAGAAAAGTGGGAGGAAACAGAAGTGACTATTAACTATTGGGTCTGAGGGATCCCTGGGTGGCGCAGCGGTTTAGTGCCTGCCTTTGGCCCAGGGCGCGATCCTGGAGACCCGGCATCGAATCCCACATTGGGCTCCCGGTGCATGGAGCCTGCTTCTCCCTCTGCCTGTGTCTCTGCCTCTCTCTCTCACTGTGTGCCTATCATAAATAAATTAAAAAAAAAAACTATTGGGTCTGAGGTGTCTTTCTGAGGTGATGAAAATGTTCTGAAGTTGATTCTGATGATGGCTGTACAGCTCTGTGAATATTCGAAAACCATTTGTCATACAATCTCAATAAGTGAATTGTATAGTATGTGAATTTTATTTTTTCCATAAAGTTATTTATTTATTTAAAAAGCCAGGAGAGTTCAATGTCAACTTATTAAGCTGTAGGCATAAATTTAAGACATAAGTTAATTATACCTTCAAAGGGAAGGGAAAGAAAGAAGGAGGAAAATTGAAATAGGAAGTTAGGTTAGAGCAGTGCCCTCTTGACTGGGTTGAGGCAAATACAGAAAACAGGTCGCTGTGCTTTGTCCTCCTCTGTTCTCTCCTCTTGAGAGAAAAAAATTATAAGGAACCATGAGTACTCAGAGTTTGCAGATAAAGAAGCAGGAACATTGAGCTAAGGATCTTAATTCATAAAGTACAGTCATCTGGGAAAACTTTCCTACAGAAGAGACTGCGGCCTGGAAGGGAAATGGTGAATAACAGGAATATGCGGTGATAAATGATCCATAGCAGAGGTGGTCAACTCCAACTGTGAAAGGGCGAAGGCAGAAAATTAGTTCATTCTTGGCTGAGATAACATTTAGTCATCATTTTTTGTGGCTCAGGCTCTGTTCTAAGTGATTTACATGAATTATCTCATTTAATTTTCACAACAGTGCTCGCTTCGGCAGCACATATACTAAAATAATTTTCACGACAGCCTACTCTCTGCCTGGCAGCCAGTCCTTATCCTAAATGTAGATCAATCAGCTCATGGCACTCTCCAGCTCTCTCTTCCCTGAAGCTTCCTTTATCTCTAGGGTAAAACCCAGACACCTTACCACTGCCTCTAACACTGAGACCAACTTCTGGACTTCAACTCTCTCCACTCCAGCCTCCTTGCTGTGCCTTAAGCCTGCTCCTATCACAAGGCTTTGCACCCCCTGTTCCCCAGCCCAGAACACTTTTCCCCACAGGTATTCCCACGGCTCATTCCCTGATTTCCACTCTCCGCTCAAATATTGCCTCCCCAAGAAAGGCCTTCCCCAAAGTCACTGTGCATCACTCAGCATGCCCCATCCTTCTTTGAGCCTGCACCCCTATCTGACGAGTCATCTGCTTTACTGTCCCCCTCCTACATTACAAGTTCAACAAGTGCAGGCTCATCTGCTGCCCTGCTCTCTGCTCTGGCTACCAATGCCTAGAACTGAGTCTAGCATACGGTAAGCACTAAATAAGATGTGTTTGAATGAAAGTTGTCCATCAAATATTTTATCTGACACTCTGTGTTTATTTCCTCTTTCCTTCTGACTTTTAGTAGTTGGGATATTTAGTCTCAGGGAATGTGTTCTCTGAGGGAAGGGCTGAGTATTGTTCACTTTTGGACCCGACCATAAAAGAGGGCATGGCACTCCTTGAAGCCAACATGATGGCAACAGTAGTGATGAACAAGAAATCATCACAGGACAGGTCCATTTGAGGGAAAGAAGTTGGGCTCTGAAGGCAGCCCCTCCCTCACCCACCCCACCCTCTTACGGAGCCCATATATCACTCTTTCTCCACTGCCAATTATAGGTTGTTCTGCTGGACTTGAACACCTCTTAAGACATCAAACAGTAATCATTCTTCTTTCCCATTTCCCCTTATTATCTCTTATAATAATCAAGAGAAACAAAGAAACCAGAGGGGTAGGGTTATCGTTATCACCTCTGGGTTGGTTCAAGGAGGAAAACCATGACAAAGCAAAGGCTTTCTTCCCTGAATGAGTATTAGATTCACCTGGGGAGCTTTTTTTTTTTTTTTTTTTTTTAAGATTTTATTTATTTGACAGAGAGCGAGCACCAGCGGGCATGAGTCTCTCCAGTGAGGCGGGGAGCCTGAGGTGGGCTCAACCCCAGGACCAGAGGAATCAGGACCTGAATCGAAGGCAGGCACTTAACCGACTGAGCCACCCAGGCGCCCCACCACCTGGAGAGCTTTTAAAGTACCTGATGTCAGGCACCCCGGGTGGCTCAGCGGTTTAGCGCCGCCTTCAGCTCAGGGCCTGATCCTGGAGACCTGGAATCGAGTCCCACGTCGGGCTCCCTGCATAGAGCCTGCTTCTCCCTCTGCCTGTGTCTCTGCCCCTCTGTGTCTCTCATGAATAAATAAATAAAATCTTTAAAAAAAAAGTGCCCAGACCACACATCTCATGCCAATTAAATCAGAATCTCTCAAGGTGGGGCCCAGGCGACTGTTCTTCAAACTCCACAGGTGAATCTAATATGCACTCTAGTTTGAGGGTGTGGAGCAACGTTTCTCACACCTTAATGTGCACACACATCTCAGGGGTATGTGTAAAAAAGTAGATCTGATTCCAGCACTGAGGCTGGGGACTGAGATCTTGCACATTTGACCAGCTGCCAAAAGCTGCTGCTGCTATACAGCTGTCCATGTACCACAGTTTGAATAGCAAGTGTGAGATCAAATACTGGCTTTGACTCACGTTCACAATTTTCAGATCTAATGTTTCATACTCTAGACATTACTAATCCATGTGTTCTGTTAATTCCTGGGCATCCCAGCCACTTGACAGCCATTGTTGCTTTTCCTCGCTACCTGACTGACCGTGGCTGGGGAAAACAAAGACCCACCTCTTGAACCATCCTACGATCAATGCTGTCTCCAATGTTTCTCAACTGCATGGCCAACTTGTGGATTATTTCCTCCTGGTGATGGTTCTGGCCAATGCTACTCTCCTTAGGCTGAGAAGGCAGACTGTGATCTACATTGACAGGAAAGAGTTCAAGAGAGATGATTAACTATCTGTAAATCACTCCCCACTTGTCACTAAAAACTGTCTCAGGCAATGAGAGGGATGAAATCTCATCATCAATGATTATAGAAATGCAAAGTCTTGCCTTGGAATAGATTAGCTCTGTTCAATAGAAATATAATTCAAACTACATATTCATTTCAAATCTTCTAGACGTAACGTCAGCAAAAATAATTTTAGTAGTATATTTTACTTAAGACGATACAGCCAAAGTATTAGCATTAAACATATAATCAATAGAAAATTATTACCAATATGTTTTGCATTCTTATTTATTATACTTAAGCCTTTCAAATCCAGTGTTTATTTTATACCTACAGCAATCTCAATCCAGGTGCTATCTTTTCATTGGAAAACCTTAATCTGTATTTTGATTTCATGAAATCTACAGTTTAAAGGTAGATATATACAACCCAGTTGTTCCAAACATACTTAAGAGTTTTCCAACAATGAAATCAAGTGTCAGGTTTTTTGTTTGTTTTTACTGAAATTTGATTTGCCAGCATATAGTGTAACACCCAGTGCTCATCCCATCAAGTGCTCTCCTCAGTGCCCGTCACCCAAGTGTCAGTTTTTACACTTAAATAAATTAAAAATAACGAAAATTTAAAACTCAGTTCCTCAATGGGCCACATCTCAAGCACTCAGGAGGCAAACATGGTTAATAGTTACTCTATTGCACAACTCAGGTCTCTATCTTTATAGTTTTGTAAAATAGATTTTTCCATTTCATGCTTATATCCATGGTCCTTGAATGAGTTCCTCCAAACCTTATTTGCTTTCAACAACCAATGAGTGTTTTTAAGCAATACTATGAGTAAACTACTGTGCTGGATGCTTTGGGGAACTTACAAAGAATAAAGACAAGGTTTCTGTCCTTAAGTTGTGTACAACCCACTGGTTGGGATGAAACAATTACCAAGTGCTTCAGGCATACAGAGGAGGAGGAAATAAATTTGGACTAAAGTAGATATAAGTATGGCTTCGTAGGCACAGCAAATTTTGCATTGAACCTATTTTGTTTCAATACAATTTGAGAACTTTGATTTTCCAGGCTTTTTTTTTTTTTTTTTATTCATGATAGTCACACAGAGAGAGACAGAGAGGCAGAGACACAGGCAGAGGGAGGAGCAGGCTCCATGCACCAGGAGCTCAACGTGGGATTTGATCCCTAGTCTCCAGGATCGGGCCCAGGACCAAAGGCAGGCGCCAAACCGCTGCACCACCCAGGGATCCCTGATTTTCCAGGCTTTGAACTGAGAGAATAAGTCCTGTCCTCAAAAAATCTAGCAGGAGAGAGACACAAACTACAATTCAACATGTTATATATAAGAGCAAGGTCTACACAGAGGAGTCAGGACAGATGACCCTAAAAAAGTGATAACTGAATTCAGTCTTGAAGAATGAAGAATGAAAAATTAGCCAGGAGAAGGGAGAGATGGGGGTGGGCCCAGCTGGGAAGGAATGGCAAACAAGATCTTTTAGGCAGAAGTGTCAACTGAGCAAAAGCACAGGGATGACAGTGAGGTTTTGTACATAAAGTCTAAGTAGGGCTATTGTTGAAAGGGAGGGGATGATGAGAGACAGAGGTAAGAGAGTAGGCAAAAGTAAAATCATAAAGGCACAGAAAGAGGCTTGGACTTTATCTAGGAGAGCAGGGGACCCACCGAAGGATTTTAAGCAGGAAATTACAGGATCAGATTTCTTGTAGCTCTTTCCTTCTGGGATTGAAGTGGAGATGGGTAAGATTTAAGACAGGGAACGCAGTAAGAGGCTACTGCAAAGTACTGCAGAGAGATGATAAGGAGTTGCCTTAGAATAAGTAGCATGCCTACCCCACACCAGCATTGTCTTACTAACTACTTCCTCACAATGACCCCCATGTGGTCATAACCACACGGTACAGATGAGAGAACTGTGGATTAGGGCAGTACTTTTCAAACTTGGCTCTGGCTTGGAATCCCTTGGGAAGTCTTTAAAAATTCACACAGTTCAGGTCTCACTTCATTCCAGTGAAATCAGTTGAACCAAGCAAGCATCAGTATTTTATTTAAAGCTCCTTAGGTAGTTGCCATGGGCAGCCAGGTTTGAGGACCGGTGATTTAGATGGGTTGAGTAATTTGCCCAGGGTTTGAAAGCTAGTAAGTGTGAGAGCCAAGATTTAAACCTAGGTCTGCCTGGCTGCAGAGCCCATATTCTTAAACCTCACCATACAGAGCCTGAACTAGTGCATATACGCCTGAAGCAGTACTAATAGGGGTGAGTGGTGAGAACAAATCCTATAAATACTTGGGAAGCAGAATAGGCCAGAATTTGGCAATAGATTAGCTGAGAAATGTGAGGGAAAAGGAAATTCTTACTTTTCCAGCTCAGGACACTGGAAAGGTGATGGCATCATCAGCTGTACAGAGAATGAGGGTCAAGGGCAGACAGGTATAGAAGGCAGAGGAGGCAGGTAGAAAGAAGAAGAAGCTAATTTTTAGTTCTTTTATACATTTAAGGTACCTGGTAGGACATCTTAGCAGGCATCTGGAATATTTCTGAAGCAAAAAAACAAACAAACAAACAAACAAACAAACAAAAACCAATATATCCAAAGCTCAAGGGATGTCAGAACTCAAAGATTTATGAGTTTCATTTATTTATTCAATAAAAATGTAGGAGTAAGATCTTTCTGAGCTCATATAGCTGATGGATAAGATTGATGATTAACAAGGTAAGCAAAGGAACAAAAGACCATAAAAATGACTGAGAAGGAATAATGAGAGAAGTAAATGGGAAAGCAGAAGAAAGTGTTTTCCTAACCATTTTTAAATGCTTTTTGAAAATTTCCTTCTCAGGGAACCTGGATGGTTCAGTGGGTCAAGCATCTGACTTTGGCTTAGGTCATGATCCTAGGGTCCTGGGATTGGGCTCTGCATTCAGTGGGGAATCAGCTTCTCCCTCCCCATCTCCTTTTGCCCTTCCCTCTGCTCATGCTCTCTCTTTCAAATAAATAAAATATTTTTTAAAAAAGAAAATTTCCTTCTAAAATATATTATTGGACATCGTTACTTGTAACTATAGTATATTGACTATGACTCTGTGTGTGTGTGTGTGTGTTGATGATGATGATAATGATTCTGAACCCTGAAACACACCTTACGGTCCTTTCATTAAAGATGCCCATCTTTAATGTGATGTCCACATCCCCTTCCAAAAGAATCTGCCATGTTGCCTAAGCAATCAAGCTCCTTACATGTCCCCACCCCAACCCTAGGCCACAGCTGTTTGGATCAGAGATGAATACCTGACCTAAGCACATACACTGGCTGGCCAGGTAGTCAGAACCTAGCCTCTCAAGAGAACACGGTCCCTTCACCTCTGTTCAATGTTCAAGAGACTAAGGGAAAAGTTGTCAATAGGACAAGGAATGCCACAGGATTATGTCAGGCCTAGGATAAGTCAAAGCATTTGCAAATGAAAATTATGAAGGGGAAGGAAACATTTAAAGGAGAGATAGAGGAAGCTCCCAACAGAGAAGAAGTAAGCAGAACAAACATTCATTAGAAAGCAAGACTCAAAAAAGACTGGGCCCAGAACTGCTTCAGAACCTGAACCCTCCAAGTTCAGTTCTGTTTCATAAGCGTTCTCACCAGCAAACGCAGCTTTTTGGAGGTGACCGGAGTAAGTCTCTTCCCTGCAACCAAACAAATAATCATCAATATCCAAATCAATTTTCCAGAGCTGTCAAATATAGGAAAAACTGTGTAGGAAATTGTGTTGGCAATAAATCTGCTTCAGGACAGACTCCAAAAGTGAAATTTAAAAATTAGTTTCCGGGCAGTCCCGGTGGATCAGCGCTTTAGCGCCTCCTGCAGCCTGGGGTGTGATCCTGGAGATCCAGAATCGAGTCCCACATCGGGCTTCCTGCATGGAGCCTGTTTCTCCTTCTGCCTCTCTCTCGCTCTCTCTCTGAATAAATAAATAAATAAATCTTTAAAAAATAAATAAATAAAAAATAAAAAAATAAAAATTAGTTTCCTGGGGTGCCCGGCTGGCTCAGTCAATGGGATATTGACTCTTGATCCCGGGGTTGTGAGTCCGAGCCCCACACTGGATGTAGAGATTACTTCAAAATAAAATCTTGAAAAAATAATAAAATAAAATAAAAATTAGGTTCCTGGCGGCTTGTGTTTTGGTTCTGATCATTTAGTCATTCCTCATAAAAGTTGAATGCAAGGGCGCCTGGGTGGCTCAGTCCATTGAGCATCTACCTTCAGCTCAGGTCATGATCTTAGGGTCCTGGATAAGATTGAACCCCTTGTCTGGCTCCCTGCTCAGTGCTGAGTTTGCTTCTCCCTCTCCCTTTTCCCCTCTCTCCCCCGCTCCTTGTGCTCATGAATGCACACACACACTCTCTCTCTGTCAAATAAATAAATAAAATATATTTTTTAAAGTTGAATACAAAATGGCTTCAGGGCTCTGCTGTACTAACCTGTTTAGTCAGCATTATTTGCTGACTCTTAAAGAGAGACTGATATCCCTGTCCTGCAGACATTTACACAGCAAAATAACTATGTCACCATATTATAATAAATATTATAAAATTACAGGTAAGAAATTGTTAAATCAAATTTCTAAAACAGTTATATGTTGAAGAAGTGCGAAGTCCTGTGACAAGATAACCAAAACAAATTAAACAAAAAAGTAAATAAAACTGTATTTTCCAAGTATTGAATTTTTTATATCCAGAGGGGAAAAGTATCTTGCTCTATGCTGAAAAGTTGTATGGAGAAATATATATATATATATAGTATCATATAAATATATTTATTTATATTTATAAAATAGTGTATAATCATATATATACTATATAACATAGTAACTATATATACATATAATAGTATATATAGTATTATACTATATAACATATATACTATATATATGTGTGTACTATATATATACAC